GTGTGTGTGTGTGTGTGTGTGTGTGTGTGTGTGTGTGGTGTGTTAGATAGTGGTGGCCATGAGATCCTGGCCTTGTCTCTAGGCGACTAGGACTGTGGTTTGTGGGCTTTGTGTAACTGCTTGAAGAGGGTATTTGTATATCCCCATCTTCATCCTAAATTTAACACCCTCAGAAACCAGTTCTCCTGTCTCAAGACTGAAGCCTATGAAATCTCTGGTGAGAGTCAGAAGGTTGTTCTAGTCTGACTTCACTTGCCCAACCTAGCCCAACCCCAATCCCATCCAACTTCAGACTCTATGAGCCCACAAGTCTAGGCACTTCCTTTCTTCCCCAGGTGTCTGTTATCAGGGAAAACCTAGAGAAACTGGATCCCACATTCCCACATAAGGAGAGTTTGGCTGGTTATGCATAGCAATATAACTGAAATGCAGATTAGGTATTAGGCACCTGTCTGTAAGGTGATCATGTCTGCCTTCAGGGTGACCAAGAAGGAACACTGGCTTTGATCAGAGTGCAGAGGGAAAGCCAGGGGCCGAATCCTTCCCTGGGGACTTTTCCTCTTTGAGAATGGAAGGTCAGAGGCTTGGAGAAGGGGATCTAGGACTGCAGGAAGTAGGAATACTTGGAGACCTAGCAGTGGGCAGCAGACAAGGCCTCTTAGAAAGTAGGGTAAGCCAGGAGTATGGTGCATGGAATATGTTCTGTAAAATGGAGGGCACAAGGCGCACTACGGCAATTACAGGATAGAGGGTAGTATCCTCATCCTTTGTTTCCTGTACTCCTTCTCTGGATCTCTTCATCAATCTGGAGAAAGAGGTTTCTGGAGCTGGGGCTCGAGTCAGAAGAGGTTCCTGTATTCCTGGAAGGACTGGGAGAGAAAGAATTGGCAGTGGGGGGGGGGGCTCCTCCTCCAACCATAAATACAAATTTTATTCAAGGTCTATTGTCACCATTTATCTTCCTGGGGGCTGGGGGGGCATGCTGGCCCCATGCATGTCTAATTCCAGATCTGCTCCCCTAGGCTGGATGATGGATGGATCAGAGAAAGCAGGCCCCAGCTAACACCAGCCTCCCCTGCAGGAGCCTCAGGCCTCATCTACTCCAAGTCTTACCACGCTTCTTCTTCCTTCTGAATCTTCTCTATTGTCACCATTTATCTTCCTGGGGGCTGGGGGGGCATGCTGGCCCCATGCATGTCTAATTCCAGATCTGCTCCCCTAGGCTGGATGATGGATGGATCAGAGAAAGCAGGCCCCAGCTAACACCAGCCTCCCCTGCAGGAGCCTCAGGCCTCATCTACTCCAAGTCTTACCACGCTTCTTCTTCCTTCTGAATCTTCTCCCTCTATTCATCAGAGGCCCTCTCTGCCCAGCTCTGCACCCACTCCACTCATCCTATTCCCCAACACCCCCTTTTTGAGCCCCTCACCTCAGCCCCTTTCAGGTGCCAGGCTTGTTCTCTAGAGCTTCTCCTCTGCTCCTATCCCCAGCCTGGCTGTGAGCAGCAGTGACCAACAGGGCTGCAGGCAGCAGCCAGTGTGCATGGTGGTGGGGGGGGGGAGTAGGCTTGGCTCACAGGGAGCTGAGGGGCCAGCTCCATGAATTTATTCATGTTCTGTTGCTCCTTCCCCACGCACTGGAATGAAGCTGCCAGCTCACCAGGTCCTTATTGCTTCCCTTTTAGCTGTCACATTTGTCTGAGGAGGGAACTAGGTAGGACCGAGATCAACGGGCCTTCCTAGGGCCAGAATCCATGAGAGAATGCTGAGGCACAGGCAGAGTTGGAACAATTTACCCAGAGCTTCTCTGGTGATCAAACTGGGAGATCACAGGGAACTTGTGTGCCTAAGAATGGGAGGTAGGCAGCCAAGAGGGCAGAAAGACAAAGAAGGTGTGGTACAGGCTTGGTAGGAAGGAAGGTGAGGAGGGGACAACATTAACAGTCTCCTAATCAAAAGCACAGCCCAGTCTGAATCCTGCACTAACCTCTACTCTGCATTGACACTTACTCTAACCCCAAATTATACATAATTTCTCTCCAGTCCTAAAGTAAACTTAAATTCCATAACAAGACCCTAAGAGGAACCCTTACCTATCCTGGAGCTCAGGGATTCCCCCAGAATTTTCCCCAGGGCTATAGCCAGGTGTGTCATAGCTCTAAGGGTCAGACTTTAGATTAGCATGTGATTAGCATATGATTTGCATGTGCTATATGCCTTCTACTCTGCGGAAGTTTTCATGTTAAATTTTTATGAAGTCTAGCAGAAAGGTCCTGGCTTGTTGAAGGTTCTCTCTTTGTGTTCCTTCTCTCACACTCCTTGTCACTAACCCAGACTCCCTCAAGGGAAGATAAGGGGTGTGGAGGTGAGCAATAGAGAGGGAGGGATGATTCTGGCACTTGTAGGAGCCTCAGTTTCCTCATTTGTAAGAAAAGATAAATCAGCTGGCCGGTGTTCCACCGAGGTCTAAGGAAGAATCTGCCTGCCTCTCTGTGCTCTCCTTCAGATAGAAAGTGATTTTCTGTCTCCTCTCTCACACCTGACTTTCGGCTCTACATTAGAGGTCACAGAAGCTGCAAGCAACTTAGGTTGCCTGGCACCCATGCCTAGATCCCCTTGTACAAAGAGGAAAGAACTTCGTCCACCTGAGGATAGGATGAGAGGATGGGAAGGAAGATAACATCATT